TGCGCATGAGGAGGCCCAATGTCCACCTGCCACCCTACTACCAAACCTATAATTATTTGCACCTAGGTCCGTTTCCCCATAATCTAGTTAACATTGAAACATTTTTACTTATTAAAAGTTTTGTTTTGATCTATATTTTATGTGAGGGGCCTTCAAAAAGTTCATGGAAAAGTAAAATAGAAAGGTAATGAGATTTTTCCTCCAGCATTTTGAAAACCATTGGTGTATGAGTGCTGTGGATTCAGTTGAAGTTCTCTGGGGGACTAAGTCTGTGTTTTGTAATTGTGACTTTACTATGTATTAATACTGTTTGAGGAGCTTAACTTTTGGCTTTTCAGCATCAAAGCAAGTTGGAGAAACCCCGACCTCTGGAGACTCCACAGATGGCACACCACGTACTCCCAACACCATCTTTGACTTCCCACCGCCGCCGTTAGACCAAGTGCAGGAGGAGGACTGCGAAGGCGAGAGGTAATTCAGTGACACTTTAGGGCAAGTCTAGCCTTGCTTAAATTTTTTTTGAATTGCATATTATTTCTTCACTTTCCACTATTTATTACCATGTGTAATTTTAGAAGAAAGAACTTGAGCTTATTAGCAGTAAGTATTAGATAGATATTAAATTTTTCTTCAATTTGTATTTTATTAAATCATTACAATACCCAGAAGAACTGATTGTCAAGCCACTGTAGTTTAACCCCATTCTAAGAGTGTCTGACCTAAAGTTTCTTGGCCACAATCTGGTGTTCATGACAACGCTTTGCTTTCCGTTGTTTTAGGGTGATTGAACATGGGACACCAAAGCCCTTTCGAAAGTAAGTCATTTTTAATACCTTTCAGTAAATGCATACTCTAAGATATAATTATTTTTTCCTCTGAAGTCCCAGTTTTAAAGAGAAAGAACCCCAGTACATGAATGTTAGATATACAGTATAAGGGGGTACCTCTTCCACAAAAATCAGAAAAATGCTCCACTGGGCAGAGCATTTGTAGTACGCATTTTCCGCACTTGGCAAGCATCTAGCAACTCATGCTCTGAGTTAGGGCTCCCATTGGTGTTGCCTGGGAAGGTTCTCTCTGGTCACAGTGAAATTTTTCATAAAAGCAGTTCACTTGAACCTCGGTTTTTGTGGTGGTCGATCTAAGAGAACAACATACGGCCATGAAATTTTGTTTCCTGCTCAGGAAAAATGCTGCAGAAACTGTTGTGCTGTTGAACACAGTTACAAAGACAGTGCTATGGGGAAAACTCAAGTGTACGAGTGGATTTCTCATTTCATAAAAAATGAAATGTCAATTGATGACAAACCTCGTTTTGGACATCTGTGAACTTCCCTAAGGGACAAAAATGTCCACTCATAGTGCATTTGGAGGTTGTTCCCCCGGAATCAAGTTTTCTATTTAGAGGTTCTGAAAAGATTGTGTAATAGTGTGCGACTAAAAAAGTCCTGATTGGTGGCAGACAGAGGACTGGTTTTGCCACCGTAACAGTGCACCAGCTCATGCAACCATCTCAGTGTGCCAGTTTTTGGCGAAAAACAGATGCCTCTCTTGACCTATGCACCTTTCTCACCTGACCTCTCTCCATGCGACTTCTTTTTGTTTCCACGAATGAAGAGGGACATGAGAGGACCGATTTGATTAAGTAGAAGAGGTGCAGAAGAAAATGAGGGAGGTGCTGTTTGCCATCCAAAACAGATGAGTTTGAAAAGTTTCCAAAATGGAATCGCAGATTTGATAAATGCATTAAGTGTAACGTAGAGTACTTTGAAGGTGATAAGGTTGTTTGGTTAAAAAAAAATTAAATGTATAGCTTTGGGGGGAGATTCTAGGTTTTCTTGGGTACCCCCTGAGTTCTTAGGAGGGACAAGTCATTACAGAGTTAAATATTGTGCACATCCTAGAAGAGATGATCTTCCAGGTTCTGTGCTTTAGCCACCCTGTGGAAATCTGATGGGCTCTCTCTACTGCGCAGGCTTGTGTTCTTTCCGGGCACTCATCCTTTCTTCCCATTAGGTTCGACACCACAGCTTTTGGAGAGAGTCAGAGTGAGGATGAACAGTTTGAAAATGACTTAGAGACCGATCCCCCCAACTGGCAGCAGCTTGTTAGTCGAGAAGTGTTACTGGGACTAAAACCTTGTGAGATCAAAAGACAGGAGGTGATCAATGGTGAGTTCTGCTTTTCATTTTGTTTTCCATTTCTAGTTTCACATTTCGTAAGGTGCAGAGCAAACTCTCAGCCCTGAGTTTGCTGCCGTGTTTTTGCCAACCTTTTCTCTTTCAAATCATGTTTTGGGGGCTCTTAACAGCTCTTATCACAATCCTTACGTACATCCATTGTGTCAGGCACATTTGTACATTTGTTGCCATCATCATTCTCAAAACATTTTCTTTCTACTTGAGCCCTTGATATCAGCTCATTTTTTCCTCCCTCCATCAACCCTTGATAACTTATAAATTATTATTTTTTGATGTTGTACACCGACTGATGTCTCCCTTCATCCACTTT